TGGAACAAGCCGTAGGCAGGGAGGAGCCCGGCCCCGCACCGAAACACCCGCAAGAAGAGGAGAGGGAGGGGAAGAAGCACAAACAGCGGGAGGTACGACGAGGTGCGACTGTAAGACATGATACTGATCACATTACCACACCGTCCTCTTCTCTCACAACATACTGGGCCACTTTAAAGGAGCTGAGATACTCGTTCATGTTCTGCAGCTCCGTGTCATCGGTCGCGTCCTGGTTGCGGTCCAGAAGCTTCGAGATGGCAGCGTCGTCGTAGTGGATCACGCTGCTGTCATCCACGTCCTTATTGTCACCTGGAGGGTGAAGCGAGGGGAACGGAAGCACGAACCGCCGTGTCGGGGACGGCCCGCTCCCAGAGCCAGGGGGACTCAGGCCGGGCACAGGGCCAGGCAGGGGGACAGGCGGCCCCTACAAGGGGGGCTACACACCTGGCGGGGTCCCACCATGCTTTTTTTTCACACCGGGAGTCACTGCACCCCCTTTGGTGGACAGCGTGTCAGAGAAAGGGGTGACGGCATCCGGCATGGCGATCCGCTGTCCCTGAGACACCATGCCTGCAGGTGTAGGAAGAGGAGAACAAGCCCAGCTGCTGAGACAGGGCCCCACCTTGATCGGAGCAGCCCCCTCACCTTCCACATCATCCTTGAAGAGCTCCTCTGTCCCAAACTTGAGGATGTCGTCCAGCTCTTGCTTGGTCATGGAGCCAGACTTGGAGCCGAGCCCCGGGCGGACGACCAGATGGGTGAGCATCATCTTCCTCTTGGCCACCTGGGTGATGCGCTCTTCAACGGAGGCTCTGGTCACAAAGCGGTAGATCATCACCTTCTTGTTCTGCCCGATGCGGTGAGCTCTGCTGAATGCCTGCGGGCAGAGGACGAAGCTGCCGAGGGCAGTACTGTGCTGCGCCAGCCAAGGGCTCCGGGTCCTTCATCCCTCCGAGGGTGCACGAAGGCACCGCGAGGGCTGCTACGGGGCGGTGGAGCAAGAGGGGCTCCTCAGAGACAACCAGAATGCACCGGCCCCCACCGTGCTGACTGCGGACAAGCCGGCTTCCCGACACGGGTCACCGGCGGGAAGGGGCTGTGGGCTGGCGGCGAGGACGCGCTCCCCAGGAACCCTGCTGCAGGTTCACCAGCCCACGCTGCTCCTCCACCACCCTGCGCCGGCACAGCCGCCCTCCTGGGACCCAGGGAAAGGAAACGCTGCCACAAACGGATGGCAACGGTGGATGTGGCTTTGGAGAGGACCTCCTCCTGGCTGGAGAACATGGGAGGGATACATGTTTCCCTTCT